ACGCACATACCAGTATTAAACCATACAGTCCCAGCAAGTTGTGACAATGGATAGAAGTCCTCGGTGATCAAACTGCTAATGGTTACACTGTTTTAGAGGGACGTTCAAGTACGTTCTGAAACAAAAGCACTGTAAAAAAGACACACCTGCTATGCGTCCAAGGCCACATGTGCAGCATGTTATCTTAGAGATTGGAAGCCTGCAAGTCATCCCAGTTTAGTGAGACAGCTGCTTTTAGATAAAATACAATACAATGAGAGCTCTGTGTGATTTGACACTTAATTAAAGGCACTCTGTTAAGTTTTCTTGTAACAACCGCAGTTCTCACCTAAATGTATCATTTGTGCCATTAAGCCCCAACAAATATGTTGACTGTCCTAAATAATGTAAAAACATTATTTAGGACAGTAAAAACATAATGTAAAAACATTATTTAAAAAAAGACTGGACTGGACTCTTGGACTGCTCCCGGAGCTTAGGAGGAACATGCAATTATTACTAAATCCTGTGCAAAACTTTATAAACTCTTCTGAAAATTGGTCGTTGTCATATTGGTTTTTGGCCAAAAACTATCTCGAGTCTTTGGCATTTTGTTTTGTAGCATAATGCCTCCATTGTTGTGCATACCAAAACACAAATCTGAGTCCTATTAATAGTGGTCAAGCTTTAATTTCTAAGCGATCTAATTGGTTGGAAGTGTTTTCACATGTGCATTCTGGGTGCAGGTGATCGATAATAGAGCATGGTGTTTCAATGGTGGCTTTGAATGATGTGTCTGATGTAGAAAAATAAACGTGTGTAGTTATTTCCAAAGAAGTATGTTCTAGAATTTTAAAAAAGTGTAAAGCAGACAATAAGTTATGGTTTAGCATACCTGGTCAATATATAAGAATAAGCTAGTGCTTTCAATAATTATCAGTTTTGGCAATTGCAAAAAAAAAAATGTAACGTTAGTGCACTTTTTGATGTGCTCTTTCATTGTATGCTTACTGTGTATTAAAATGGTTCATGCAGTGACCATTGTGGTCGTGTGTTTGTCAGACATGCAGAAATGCAACCTTTCTGTTGGTGGATGTGATAAAGGGCTAAGACTGACAGACGGGTAAACAGCCCACCATTCACTCTACCAGCCACGAGGGACAGTTGATGCACGCTCGTATATATAAGAAAGAGTCCGACGCGACACTCAAACACAGGCCCAATGCTCGACGCAGGAGTACACTGCGTTTGACCCGCTGAGGCAACACTCCTGTTCTGCACTTGACCCCGATACTTGCTTCTGTTATAGTGAAGCAGTGAGGTCGGTTCTTCTTAAAACTACATATTGACTACTTTTTTTTTTTCCTTTGAAGGAACACTTCACCCAAAATCTCTCTCTGATGGATAACTGCCTTTGCTCAGCTTGTTGTGTGACATCAAACGCATTTCCTGGCGGCCAGCTGGTTCTGGTTTTGAGCACGACGTCACAGCTCAAAGAGCTGGTTGAAGGGACGTTTTTTTAGAGAGCACACTCACAAATACACACACTATCCATGCATTTCTTTTTTTTTTGTTGCATTTTTGCCAAGTAAGCCGTAGTTCCACCCCAGCTCTGTGGTATGCGGTTATAAGTCAGTCTGTGACGTCTTTGGATGTCTGAGTGCAGCAAACCAGCTGCAGTGCAACGTCTGCCACCCTCAATGTTCATTTTCACGCTAAAAATAAGCCCAGCCACCATAACATGCATGCACCGTCTCTATCCCAGTAAAATAACATTACGCTTGGAAACATTTACAGTCTCACTCCTCCGACTTGTTTCCTTTTTTCCACATACGGCTCTACAACTTGGGTTTCGAGTATGCTACGCAGTTATGAGTGAGTCCGCCCTTGAAAACCCGTGGCCGTCAGTGAACATGATCCGTGCAGCGGTTAGGTTTTCCATCACAACATAGCTGGGAGAACAATCTAGTAGAACTTTCTAGAGGACAGGGTCGGTCTGTGAGCACCAGACCGAAACCGCTCGCAGCATCGATTGTGAAGGGGTCAAAGGTCATCAACCAGCAGTCAGAGGACAGCCGGAAGAAGATACATTTCACCATGTCATCTTATCTTGTACAGCAGGGGGGTGTAACAGTGACGCTGGGCCTTTGACTGAGGATTTACTGCCAGGTTTATTCTTGTAGTGGAGAGGTGACTTCTCTTACTCTGAGTATTTTGCCATGGTGCCTAATTTAGGGAAATCTGGACTTCTCCAAACCCCTGTGGCCCTCTGATAGGGTTAGCTCCTGGTGGTGACTTCAGAGAGCTTCGTCACGTTACATCTCAATGAGCTCCAACTTCACGTCCTTCCGTGTTCCTTTCACATTAACAGAGAAAGGCTTTGAGAATCGTGTCCGTCTCAACGGCAGAGAAGTCTTGAGAGTCCTGGTGAATTACATTCTGTGATCATTGATGTGAGCGCACTCACATGTTTCCCCATCTTTACAGAAACGTCGCCATTTGGGAGTCTGGAGATAATTTGTGTAATTCGCAACAAGTGATTTCATGTGCTCACGCATGCTCGTGCATCGGACGGCCGGTGAGATCAGCTAAGAGAGTGAGGTCTGCCAACCGCTCACTGGCTGCTCAGGTCAACAAGGCCTTTTCCTCTCAGATCTCAGAGGATAGAACCTCTTCAGAACTGCCCCGCGATAATGCAAAAGCACATCTGAGTGGTAGATTTCTTTGACGTATTGTGCTTTAATTTCCGACAGGAAACTTGCTGTGATTAATTGCTCTTGATCGAATGAGATCAAAGATTTTCACGAGGCACCCTTTAGCGTCTGTATGCGTCACATGCATCACATTCAACTAACTCCAAACACACACACACACACAGGACTTTCTTTCAGGAGACCGCTATTTGTGTCCTGTGCAAAACTAAAATTGAATGTTGACATTTTGTCACATTAGTTGTTTGTCACTCGCTAGTTGCGTAAGCCCTTAGTTAACATCCACCACGCTCTTTCCCTAAACTTGACTTAGTGTTTTTGTTGATGGATGTTTATTTTGAAAATACATCATATATTGTATATACTGTATGTTGATACACCTTCCCTGACACGTCAAAAACTTCCCAACAAACTCTGATATGTTGTATTTTATGAACGTATTTGAATATTGGCAATAAACCAAACCAAACACATCCACCACTCTGCACTTTCCACACTACAGCGGATTGAATTAATTAAATGGAGCTTTTTGCTCTCTAAGAAATAGAGAAATTGTTTGACTAATGCTGATCTGTACACTGTCAGCTTACTGAAATCATAAATAAGTCATTAATGGAAGTTGTCCTCTCTAACTCTGAGCCACATGTGGTCTTCAAGCTGCAGCCCAGCTCTCTGCAGCACATGTGGTTTGATTCAGTGCTGTGGAAAGATTACAGAGGAAACTTGGACAAGCGATGCGGAGCAGTGTCTTCTCAGACTATGAAATGTCTCGGAAGCTTTTATCAAAGCTGCGGTATACTTTACGACTGAATACCTACTGAGCCCTATCACTCTCCTTTATTGGGATCATGACTTGGTTTATGTGGTGTTCAGAAGGCCGTGCCAGCATTAGCTGGACAGAGTTTCTCCTGTTTTAAGCACATGATGCAATCCTCCAGAAATGTTACAAAAGTTACCTCAGAAAGACTATCATGAAGTTAAAACATTATGTGTGAATGCCAAGTTGGTTGCATTTGGCAGTAGAGTTATAGCTCTGCAAGGTATGTTTGTATGTATCCGAGCACACAGTGAAGGTTCAGCACAGTCACATCTCGCTGAAGTACGCATTGTCCGTAATTGAATGGAACGAACGTCCTGTACCAGGTTTAATTGATTGTAAAAACAGAAGCAAGAGGAGGCTAACATGGTGGTGGCAGTTCGGGTGAGCAATGTAATGCTGATGTCAGTTAAAACCTCGTCCATCCAACTTCAGACTTGTCTTAAGTTTGATGAAAATGCATTATTGAGACGGGCCAGCAAGTTTTTAAATATCTTTATTGGTGGTTGGGTTCCTTCCCACGAAAAGCCTGTAATTGTGTGTGGCAGCTAACCAGCGTAGCACTCAGCCTAGAATGTGGTGCTGAAACAGCATTTTAGAACTTGAAAAAAGAACAAAAGTATTTGAAAAGAAGGAGTAAATGGAGCAATCAACCAATATTGAATGATTCCACCCTGATGAGTTTAAAGAGTTAATTGTTTCCCTAAATGTGTGTAGATAACAGTTTGCTGACTTGTATTGTTTAGGACGGTAGGTTTGGCTAACACATACCAGGACCCTGCTGAGTACATCGCAGCTTGTTGTTGAGTTTGAATGAAGGGGTTTTACAGCGCCTTGCAGGCCATTGGTGTCTCAATGCGTGTTAGCCGATTGTGGGTTGCATTCATTCGATCACACAGTACAGCAGTGGCTGTTGTGGAGATCTGCACTGATTGCACCTTTATAGTTATATATCACAATCAGAATCAGCGTTATTGGCCATGTATGCGTACGCATACAAGGAATATGATGGTTTCTTTCTTGTTTTTCTCTATATCTCTTGCTCGTTTCTTATGTGAATTTTTAATGATGTTTTTAATGTTTTGCTGATTTGTTTTTTAGTTTGTTATTTTTGGTGAAACTGCCGTCTTGGCCAGGACTCCCTCAGAAAAGAGATTTTGAATCTCAAGAGACGATCCTGGATAAATAAAGGTTGAATAAAAAACACTGTGTGTCTAAATCACTACAGCCAGCTAAGAAAGGTCAGCAATGTCTGTTTAAAACCACATAATAGGCAAAAACTGCACATGTATAGAAAATGACACTAAAACTTCAGTTTTTGCAGAATAATACTAGACAAAAATAAATTAAAAAATGACAACTAACCTGAAAGTGTTCCAGAATTTGGTTTAAAGACAAAATCCTAAGGGGCGTGAATGAGCACAGCTGTACTCACTGGGGGTTCATTCATACCACAATGTCAATGGTCTGCAATGAAACCAATCAATCAGCAATTAAGACAGAAAAAATATTTATTGGTTAAAATAGCTTTTCACAGATACAATTAATGGGTTTTTGTTTTGCTTTCATGCACTTACACTGTACAACAGTGGATCCCCGCGGATTAGCATCGAACTACGGCAACAAATGACTAATTGCTCCTGTTCCTGTCAATGGGCGACATCTCTCACAGAACCAGTCGATGGAACCAGCGGTCAGATGTCTGATATTATGCACTGTAGTGATTTCTGTGTTATAAAATAAATTAGTAACATGTGTATCAGAAAACTCTTACCACTAACTGTGTGCATCACATTACATCTCCATCACCAAGCTCTCAGTGCAAATGCCATTGTAGCTGACAGATCCATGACACATGTAAGTACCGACAAAATGATGCACCAATGACAATTATATTTAAAAATTGCAAAAAAAAAAGAAAGGAAAAAAGGCCCAAATTGAGATTTATCCTAGTGTTTGATAGTTGTGGAGCTACATTGGCATACATTTGAACATAACTGACTAAATATTAGTCCAGATCTATAAGCAGTCTTCTAAAAACTCACATTTTTTTTTATTGTGACACAGTTAGATTGATTTACAGTACTAAATATCTATTTCTCAAGCAGCAACGGTTACATTGAGTCTGAAAAAAACAAACAATACCTACAGAACGAAAAGAAAGTCATCATTCACTCAAATATGTAAAACGCAGATAAATCTTTCTACTGTTTTTCTCTACAGGCCGCAAAAGATGAAAAAAAAAGGATACCACAGTAATAAAGCCTTTCTTTATGGAAGCCACGTGAAACCAGATCAGTGTAACCCCTCAGCCCCGCCACCATCGCAAACACACATAAAAACCACAAAATGAAAACATGAAACCACATAAATTCAAAGTTTATCAGGAAACAACAGTCCACGCTGACTGACAAAGTTACTAAAGAGGAAAAAAAAATGTTTTACTGTCAATAAATATACAGCTTGTGGGGGAGTTAATGGAAGATGTTTTCTGTGAGTGAGAGATACTGGATAGTAGTCAAATGTTCCTCTTAGTGGTAGGTGTCCTACGGATGCCAAGCAATAAATATTCACTACAACACATATTAAGTGTTCTCCGAAATGGTGAGCACTTTACATATTCTTTGTCCGGACAATAACTCCTGTCTTTGTTGCGACTGAAATGTGATTTTTTTTCTTAATTAATCGAGAACTGGGATACGAGAGTTACGGTGTGAGTGAAACAAACAGAAGAGAGAGTGTTACAAATGTGGATTCGGCCGTGAAATCAGCTTTATGACGCAAGCGCACTGGAAGAGCAACTCAATGAAAATGTGACCGTCGAACTATCTTTCAATGCAAACATGTCTGCGTGTGTGTGTGTGTGTGTGTGTGTGTGTGTGTGTGTGTGTGTGTGTGTCAGTGATGCAAAATTACAACTTGGGTTCTATTTCCCTATTTCATTCTTTTGGCCATCATTCCTGCTGGTTTAAGGCTTCATCGGTGAGCTATACGCAGCTTTATTAAGGGATCATTTGCTAATGTGATCTATGTTTAGGTCTTTTCCTCTCTGAGAGGTTACATCCTATCTCCTACCAACAGTGTTGGGTTTTTTTTTTAAGCACAAAGGGGACTTACTAAATTGTTATAGTCAGCTTAAACTCTGGAAGTTGACTAGTTTAGTTAACTCAACTTACTCTTTAAATTTCCAAATTGTGTGGCGTTGATCATTTGGGACGTGGGTATGGAGATTTGTTTGTTGCTACTACTGGACTTTCCTTTTCTTTTCGTTTTAATTGACGGGGACAATGCTCAACAGAAGTTAGCCGAGAAGACTGATATTTAATCTTGTCACATGTTTACAAAAAAAAAAGCACAAATAAGAAGGCACCATCTTATGAAGCCGTCCCCACACCTTCAGAATTCAGGTCTGACAGTGGTTAAGTAGAAATGCTGTCACCAATAGGAAGAATAGCAGAAAATATGAAAACAAGAAGAGGACTTTTTCCTTTAAATGTAACCTTTGCAACTTAAACCAGAGCGATCCTCTGTTTTCTGTTGGACTCATCGCCTGTGGCTGTTCTGTTCTCTCAACGCTGGGCTAGCTCCCCTAAAAGGTTACGGTAAAAGTCATTGAAAACAACAAAAAACAAAACATATTTGCAACTTGTACCTTTCGACAGTGTTACATAACAAGTTTTAACGTCTCTTCGAGTGACTAAGAGTCTCTATGCTGAAGACAGTGATTGAGGTTAGCTCCGCCTCCTGTCTGAACCTATGTGATGGAGTGTTTCCTCACTCTCCGGCTGCAGCCGCACATCCCGTCATTCAGGGCAGAGCTGGGAGGAGGGGGGTGAGGGGGGTGAGGGGGGGGGCGGGGGCGGGGCTTACACGTCCAGGTCGTCTGGCCTGGGTCGGCTGCTCATCCGGCTGCTGGCCCGGCTACAGGGCCTGGCGTCCATCAGCGCGAGCGGCTGCATCTCGTGTCCCGCCGTCGAGGGCAGTTTCTTATGCTCCTGGGTGTCGTCCGGGAAGTCAAAGGCTTGTGCGTGGGAGTTTGAAATAGTGCTTCCTCCGCCATTCTGGCCGAGCCGGTGCTGCTCCGTGGAGTAGTTGGCCCAGTTCTGCTCGGTGGCCTGCTTGTTGTAATTGCGGCACGAGCCGGTCCCCCGCTCCCCCGTGGCCAGCTTGTAGCCCGGGGGGGACATGGGCGAGAGCGGCGCTGTTGGGGAGGAGCAGCCGTTATAGTAGGCGTACTTGGTGGTGGACAGATCTTTAGGGGTGGGGCTCAACGTGCCCCCACTGGTATAGACGATGGGCGGCTGTCTGCCCTTCACGCGATCTTTGATCCTCTTGAAAAACACGTAGAAAAGCTCGATGACGTTGAGCATCAGGGACACCAGGGAGACCACCAGCATGAAGATGATGAACACGGTCTTCTCCGTGGGACGTGACAGGAAACAGTCAACACTGTGTGGGCACGGGTCCCTCTGGCAGGTGTAGACCGCAGAGAGGCTGAACCCGTAGATGTACCACTGGATGACCAGGAAGCCCACCTCGAACATGGACTTGAAGAAAATGCTGACTATATAGGTTCTGAGCAGGGCCCCTTTCATCTTCACTTTGCCGTGCTCCTCGATACCATACTTTAGCTTCTTCATCTCGATCTTCTTCAGCGGGATGTCGACGTCGCCGCCGTCGTTTTGTACGATCTTGAGCAGCTCCTCCTTCCTGTTGAACTTCTGCTCCTTCCGGTTCAGGTAGAAGACGTGAGCTAGGTAGAGGAGCGTGGGCGTCGACACAAAGATGATCTGGAGAACCCAGAAGCGGACGTGGGAGATGGGGAAGGACTTGTCGTAGCACACGTTCTCGCAACCAGGCTGCTGGGTGTTGCATTTGAACGCCGACTGCTCGTCTCCCCAGGCCGATTCCACCGCGGTGCCCAGGACCAGGATCCTGAAGATGAAGAGGACCGACAGCCAGACCTTGCCACCGGCAGTGGAGTAGGCCTGGACCTTGTCCAGCAGACGACCCAGAGCACTCCAGTCACCCATTCTCAAGGAGCGTTAGCTGGTGAAAGAAAAAGAAGAAACAACATCCATTATTCAATTACGAGTTCAGGCTTTCACAGATAACACTTTCTATGAAACCCATGTCTATAATGTATTATAAACTTACTTACAATGTGTTATAATCTGCTTATAGCACTGTTTAGTTATTAGGCTTTGGCTTGTTATAATGACTTATAGGGTCAAGTATCATTACACTTCATAATGGCTGGTCACTCACTGACATTATTTATTTTGCAAGGATCATTGTTTATTATAATTCCCATAGTTATTATGGGATCAATAATCATTTAATAATGCATCATAATGTGATTATTCTAAGTGGCCACTGGGTGCTTTGGGTGAAGTGAAGAAAAAAACATTAAATCTACGCAAGAACAACACACAAAATAATGAATCATCATGAATTCTCAGGAGTGCTTATAACCATAATTATACAGTGATATAAGCAGATTATAATGCATTATTAGTATGATTCTAATGCATTGTAGACATGAGCATCATAGGAAGTGCTCCCCACAGACACATTATGAAATATGTCTGCTCCAAACAGCAGATCAACATTCTCAGGATTCTGGCCTTTTGGCAGCATTTTGTGATTAAACAGCGTCGTTATTGAAGGAGACAAACCGAGAGAGTTTGGTGACCAATTACTGGGCCGCAGGAGCAGAAAACACGTTTCGGAGGGTTTATGCAACACTGCCCTTAAGATCCACGCAAGGATGTCAACACATGAAATGAAATTGGACTCATCGAGCGAAGAGAATCTCCAACAACAACAAGTATTCATCCGAAACAAGAGGTGCTTTTGATTGAATTGAGCGGGCAAATTGGAGAAACGCCTAAATTGTTTGTATCAGAGAGATGATCCAATCTCTGACCCCGCGGCGATGTCTTTTAAGAAACCTCTCCAATGAAAAACAGGGACGACGACGCACGATTAATAATCGAATATTCAAATGACTTTTGCAACACCAAACATCTTAGAATAATAATTTTAAAAAACATCTCTTTAGGTAAAAACAGACAAGCACAGTTGTCAACCTGTTGAGCACTCATTGAAAAAAAAAAACATATTTCAGTCACATGACAGGACAGTGCAGCTCTGCAGCACTTATGGGGTCCAAACTACATGTCAAGTGAGATTATCTGCTAGGTTTTTGAATAAAACGGGTCAAAGTTTGTACACGTTAACATCTACTCCTGTTCTCCTTGTGCTGTACAACAAAAGTATCTGCTTCAGCTGGCCAACGTGTAAAAAAAGAGTCTCACTCTGGCTGTTCTTGTCTGTGAGGCGCAGAGTGAGGAGGAGAGAATAAAAGTGAGGAATGAAAGAAGAAAAGACACAAAGCTGGATCATCAGAGGACCGAGCTCTTCTGCCTCAGGGAACGGTAGAAAACTCTGCTGAATGTTAGCCGAGCTGTCCAGAATAAAGGGGTGTGGGGGTGTGGGGGGGGGGTTAGGCCTGTGGTGTGTGTGCATCTTCCCTCTGTGCTCACAGAGAAGAAGAACATTTCCTCTTGGGAGATCAACCCATTAGGAAAAAAGCATGACATCAGCAGCTCCCCCGTTGACAGTTTGCTCTTGAACCGCTGAGACAGGATTCAGTCCACAGGTTTAAAGGGAAGTCCCGCTGAAAAAATACTACAAATGTCGCTTTTGCTTGGCTACGATTGAAATAGAGCCACAGTTCAGAGGATGCACAACACTGGCCAGTTTGCCCTGTCTGAGGCTCACATCCACCTGAAAAACTAGCGCCCTCCTCAGTCCAAAAAATGAGCGGCGGAATAATAGAAAAATGACTGAGCGGCTCAGACCGACTCTTCATTCGTGTGAATTAACAAAATGCACTACAACGAATCATAGAGGGCAAAAAAAGGTTATGTTCTGGTGCAAATGTTAAAGAAGCGGTCATCAAAGGGGTTCTAGGGGTCTTTTGAGACATTCTGAAAGGGGGGGTGGGTCTTTAAGTGGTTACCACTGGGCCCTGCGGCACCATTAGTTATTATTATAACCCCAATGATAAACCACAGACTGTAAAACAGCCGCAATACGGTTTTCACTCTCACCTTCGCAGCTCTGAGGAGAAAGTTTAACTAAGGAGAGTTAAAAAGAAAGAAAAGGCGTCCAGCAGACACAGACAGAGAGCCGGCAGGATCCTAATGAGGAAAAGTAGAAACCCTCAGTCACGATACACAAACTAAAAAGGCATGTGCTCTCACTTATCTCGTAAAGAACCGCACTGTAATCCCTACCACCTGGATGGAGGGCACGGTCCTTCTGTGCAGAAGTGACCTTCAGCCTTCAGGGTCCAACGTGATGAAGGAGGGGGAAAAGTTCCTCCTTTTTTTTTGGTTGTCGTTGTTCTTATTAGACATGGGACATCCCGCCACTTTCTACATGAGTGAGTCTGTCTGGTGAAAAATGACCAGGACAGCAGAGAACAATGGACTCCCAACACAATAACTTTCAAAGCAGACATCTCAAACTCCACTGAACACTCCTTAGAGACATCACACGAGGCATGAATGAAACAAGTTTTGAGAACTTTAATTTGGAAGTTTCCTGTTGTCATGGGGCCACACTTTTTCTTTTTTCTTTAGTCACGGGCATATGGGAGAATCTTAACATTTAAAACTGAGCTTTTCTGTAGTTCACTGTCCAGTACAGGATAAGTTAAATCCAGCACAACAGCAACTTTTGGACGGACAATAAAAAAAGAATAAGCGCTCAGGATTTCAGTGCGCCATTTAAGAATGTATCCAATAAATCAACCGACTCCAGTCTTCATCACATATTGCTCCTCTGTGACCTCGATCTGTCTTTCTGGACGTTTAATAAGAGGGGGGGGAAAGAAGACGACCCAGAGACCTCTTTTCAGACTGTAGAAGTTAAATTGTCAAACTTTTAAAAAAAAAGAAAAATTGCACGGAGTGACGTTTGTTACGCACCGGAGCGGTCCGCTATTTTCTAACGGCAGCAGCCTGCGTGACGAGGTGGGGAGAAAAAAAGTAATTCTACCAATCTAAAAGAAAGTTTAGAAACTTACCTGGGGAAGTCACGGAGAGGAAGAAGCCGGGGGCCCGGAGGGACTTTCTCCGTCCGCCACTTGTAAGAACGTTGAAATCCAAGTTTTGGGACCAGGGGGGGGTGGGGGGGGGGGGGAGAGACTGAGTCGAACTTGTCAAACTTCCCTTATAACGGTCCAGTCAGAGAAGTTACGGTCACCTGATCTCTCTACGTCAAGACCCAAGCCGGGAGGAGAGAGAGAGAGAGGGAGGGGGAGAGGGAGGGGGAGAGAGAGAGAGAGAGAGAGAGAGAGGGGGAGAGGGAGAGAGAGAGGGAGAGAGAGAGAGAGGGAGAGAGAGAGGGAGAGAGAGAGAGAGAGAGAGAGAGAGAGAGAGAGAGAGAGAGAGAG